CAATCCCGCTGATCCCGTTTAAACTTACGAAACGATACTTCAATTATTAAAATACGTTGAAGCAAAGCTAATCGGATAACGGTGTTAGAGTTAACGAGAGGAAAAAAGAAAGGAAAACGTAGCAACGCGGCCTTCCGACCGTAAAATTAACGCGTCGCTAAGCCGAGCTTAAACGCGAGAAGCTTCTATAATCGGTCGAGAACGACGGAGGGAATAAAAATAAGCCTGGCATTTTACTAATTCATAGCCTGTTATATTCTCCCTCTCCTGTGGACCGACTTTAGAATTCCACGCCACGCCGGATGAATTTCTATTCCCGATGAAAAAAACTGCGTTGAGAAAACGGTGGGGAGGGAAGAAATAAAAGGGAAAGAAAAAGAAACGCTCATTGTATATGCCGCCATTTAAAAGGTCGAGAATCGGGAAATGGAATTTCATTACCGGCTGAAATCGCGTTCGCTTAAAATCGGCGACTTCGTGAGACCACGCGTACACCCCCGCGTCTCCTATACAACACCTATCGTACGCTCTACTGTGTAATAACAAAATCCTATTGAAAATGCGTCGAATATTTTTCGCGTTTCTGTCATCGTTCGCTCGTCGAACATATTGATTAAACTCAATTCGCAAGCTCATTGCATTTGCTATTGAAAGTACCGCTTTTAATGCTCTGCAATGCAAGCGAATAAATGGAAATCCAAATACGTGTCTGAAAATATTCCACGCGGAGATTGCGAAGAATTTCAATCAGTTTAATGATTAGAGAATTCACTTTCCGTCTCGATTATGCAGGAGAGAAATGTATCGTTTCAGGGGCACGGACTTTGCGGGAAAATCAAAGCCGATGACGGGCGCGGTTGAAAAATATCCACGGAGCAAAGTGGAAGAATTTCATTTCGAGGATACATTGCCGTGCGCGGGTCGTAAATAACCCGTCGTTCTTTCGCGTCGTCGTGAAAGGACGCCGGAAATCGAGCTCGAACGCATCGACGATCGGTTGCGGTACGTGCACGAGGGCCACGCGGAAAGGAACAGCCGAGAGAAAAGAAGAAGATTAAGATCGAATCTCAGCGACGAAGCACGCGGGGGTGGTTTTGTTTCGAGGACTAGCCCCCGAGTTATATACACCGCGAACGTGTACGTACGTAGGTTCGGTGAGTGCTGGCAGATGTATCTTGGCAAGCTACCAAAATGTTCTCCGGCAAACGAGGAGAGCCCGCTTGTAGACGAACGGCGAGTAAGGTACCGCGAAATTATCGTTGCCCAAGAATTTACTGGTTAGAAGTAGTGTGCCAAGCGTCTAACTGGTGTCGAGGGAAAAGAAATTTTTCTCCTTTCTTTCCCTCCTAGCCTCGTTGCGTACCCATTCTACCATTCGATGATGAATTATCGCATCTTTTTCGAGTTGGCTTTGCAGGAAGGTTAATTGATTCGAAACGACGAATGTTATTCGAAAGATTGTCGGAGGAGTAATAATAGAGTAATAGAGTAATAAAATCGACGGGGGGTAATTGTTCGAAGATATTCAGATTTGAGAGAGCAGGCGATGATATTAAGGGTAGTTGCAGTTCGAAGTCAGTTACGGTTCGCGAAAAGTTTGCCGAACGATTGGAAGTTCGCGAGACACACTTCCGCCCCCGAGACGGCGAGTATTGCGAAAGTTAAATGAGAACGAGTTAGGCTGGCAACAGGCGATAAGCTGTTCGAGTCTTCGCCGCTTCCTGAAGCATATCGATAATGATGCGCCATGGTGTGCCACTCTACGAACCTTATAAAAGATTCTTATTAAAAAAAAGAACGATTAGGACATTGAAAGAGCGAGTAGTCGTGGGAAAGTTTATTACTCGTTTATCCGTTTCGACATTTTCTGAAAGATGGAATTATTTTCGATTGCGTGTAATCTAATTTGCTCCAAGCGCTGATTGTTACGTTGAATTCGCGAGCTTCTTTCTCGACGTATTATTGAATCATTTCGACGTTAATTAGGCACGAAGCCGAGAAGTGCCCTGTGACGAGAGACTTTACGATCCTCGAACTTTCCGATTGGTCGAACCAACGTTTCGTGCAGCCGGAAAACATGGCCAACTTCCCGAACTTCTCTATGTAAATATGTTTACCGAAGAGAAAGCTTTTTCGAGCGAACAGGCGGCGGGTTTCTTTGCGCCACGGATACACTTTGTTTCCCGCCAAGACTGACTGAACGAAACTTTTCAACTAGTTCATCGTGAATTTCCCGTGAAAGATAACTATCTGGATTCATTGGTTTCTTTAGCAACGAGATTTGTTTTTCGACATCAAAGAAACTGTTTGCCCTCGTTTGAATCGTTTAACGTTCATCGGCAACGTTGGTCGAGGAAAATTCTCTACCAGCTCCCGTTTTTCTCCGTACAAAATAAAACGATACACTACGGTTTTGGTTATAGCTTTTATTCCATCGGACGGTTTCGATAGCGTTTCGCTGAAAACAGGAAGTGTAACAATTCTATCGGGTTAAAGCGATCGGGCAAAAAGAGGATTATAAATTCCATGAATACTCACGCAACATTCGAAATACTTGAAAGTTTAATCATTCTCATGGGTCAGTCGATCAACCTTTGCCTCCGGGCACAGCGAAATCGAATGTTGAATTAAGTAAGACGTGATGGAGGGATCATTAAGAATTAATTGGTCATGGTCCGAACCGTGGCAGATCGTCCAGATAATTTTCAATCAGTCGCGAAACGAACTATACACCGCGTTAAATCTATTTTCCTTATAATTACCAAAACTTATCTACATTCCCGAGGAAGTTTAAAAAGGCAAAAGTTATTAGCGAAATTACGAATCGATCGGTGAGTCGAGTTCGATAGACCACGAAGCTTCGTTACGTCGAGCCATTACGTAGCTACGATTCAACGTTCCCGTCCTCTTATTTTCCATGCGACGAGCCTGGCCAGAATTGGATTTCTACCAACACGGAAGTAGGCTGAAGAAGAGAAAAGAAGAAGAAGAATGGCGAGTATAAAAGAGCCGGGAGAAGGACGCGAGAGAATCGAGGGGGTAGATTCTAGTCGACCGCTGCTTCGAATCGAATAACGAAGCTACCCCCCTGAAGGAGTGCCGCCTTCACGCCGGAATAATAAGAACTCCATTCTCTCGAGATCGAGAAAATCGATCGCACCCTATCACGTTCATCGCGTATTATTGCCACCGTCTGTTCCCGACAACTCGTGCCCACCCTTTTGCTAGACGCCTGATTGTGGCCACCGCCGACACAGCCACTCTAGGTGGTCGGGGATGGCCGAAAGGGGATGACGGTCGTTCTCTGTTGTTACTGCTGTTCCAGGATGGTGTTCGTGTCTCCCCGTGTTACACTTCGACACCCCAAACATCCAGAGGAAAGAAGATACATACTGCAAGGAGACGATGGTCCACCGTTTCCAACGCACCCCTCCCCGATGAAACTACCCTCCTTATACGATCGCACGTTGAAATTATCGGTTTTTACGCGCGAACAGCTGTGCGCGATATCGTTTACGAGTTTCAGCGAACGAGAAACGAAGCGAATTAAAGCGATATACCCTCGATGATTTTCCGAATTTCTACGTCTCCGGTGTACAGACTGAAGAAGCAACTCGTTGTCATCCGAGCATAAACGCGTAACGAGAATATTTAGTCTGAATTTCTAACGATTCGCGTGAACGTTGTTAAACATCCCTAAGCATTTCCCTTAAAAGGCAATTATGCGACTAATACCTCTAATTGGAAGCACCGTAATCCGTGATAGAGAGCGCAGCTGGGGCAGCCTGAGAATTTAATACGTAATCTAGTAAGGGATTAACCGAGGCTACAACATCTTTCACGCAATTCCAATTTGAGCTTCGCCTCGAAAATTAGTATCTTTCCTCAGCGCTACGTAGAAACGTAATACCCTGTCAGACTCGTAAACGGCCACGTAATAACAACGTTTAATCCCGGCACGATCGAGGTACAAAGCAACACCGAATCCGAACGCCATAATTTCCCGTTAAATCATCGAGAAATCTCGGGAAAGACCTATTCGTCTTGACTTACACAAATTGATACGATTAGAAAGGTCAAAGGGTAGAAATTGAGTGATTGATTTTGCAACGATGAAAATTCATTTCTCTCTATGCTGTGGACAGAGATAATAACAGTATCCGTCGAAATACGTGACTCGATGCCTCGGGACAGGTTTAGGAGCCACCCTCGTCGTTATTAAGTTAACCCTGTACACACGCGATCCAGACATTTATTTATCTCGCTTTATTCCATACGAGTATTCGTGTCGTTCGAGGGCGGACAAATGCGAAGGTTATGCATCGAACGAAATCAATTTACACGCGGATTCGCGTTGAAAAAACGAACGAGTGTAATTTTTGAGAGTCGTTAAATTTTAATAGAAGGAACTTGGAAGAATCGCGTTCATTAAGACTTTACCTTTTTCTAGGTTAATGGGGATGACAAGCGGTCGCGAGAGGGTTCGATCGATTCCCTGAAACAGTCTTGTTCATTGGGAAAAATCCTCACGCGATCTTGTTACGCCACTCGACACCCGAAAGTTTCAAGTTCGCGAACCGGAGACGGGAAAAATTCGTGTTAATCATTAAGAACGTTAACGAACTTCATTCGATCAATTCATTAGAGCGCCGAATACAGCGCGAGGGCTTGTACAATTTATAGCCGAGCAATGAAGTTTTTATCGGTACAGGAAACCGATAAAAAACATCACGAGCCTCGTATTTTCTACTGAAAATATAGCTTTATTATGACGGTGTTATGATTGTTACAGTCTTCGCGTTTCTCTTCAAACTCCTTTGATCGCTCGGAATGCGCATCGGTACCGGGAATGGATGGAATAAAAAGGGGATGAAATTTTGTTGCAACAAGGATATATTTAACGGAACAACAAAAACAGTATCAACGAGAAACGTATAATAACAAGATCTCTTGTAATCTTTTTAACGAATCGTAAGTTTCTTTGGTCAATTTGGTCTTCGTCAATAGTAGCCTGATCCACCATCGTGTCCATGTCCACCTCCATATCCATCGTGGTCGTTTCCATTGGAATTATGCACGTAGGCGAAGAATCCTCCATGAGGATCGGCGTGGTACTTGACGGTTCTCACGTTTCCTCCTGGTTCCTTCACCGTGTACTCGCCAGCTACATTTTTCCCTGTTTAACGAGTAATTTAATCATTATGTTGATGGTAAATCAAAAATTCCCGGAAGATAAGAACCCAGCCTCCGGATACTTCGGTCACAAATTACTGTCGAAAATTCAATCAGTGTCACTTCATAAAAAAAAGAAACAACTTACCGTGTGCTTCTTGAATAAAATAATAACCAAGCCAGAGAATTATAAAATAGGGATTCACGAACCTGCCTGTGCCGCAGGAAAAATGTACGAACCAGCAAGGAATATAATATATCAACCTGTTGAGCAGAATTTATCCGCATCTATAATTTACTTTCTTCCACTACGTTCCTGCAGGTCCACGATAAGCGTGTACCCTTATTACAAGCAATACGAGCACCGAACGTTGACAGAAATTTATGTTTCAACGTTTACCACAACTAGGAAAGCATTCTTTTTATTTTAACCAATAAATAGCCAGACGTCTACCTCTCTAATTGCAACTTACTTCGTCGTTCGTTAAAAAAGGTAACGTCTGTTGAAATTTTCTGTGAAAATATGATAGTTTCAACTTACCGTCTCTGTGTTCCTTTTGACTATGATGGTCGCCAGTATGGTGATCTTGGACCCCGTAAGAGAAATCGTATTTTGGATGAGCTACGTATCCATGGTGATATCCATGTTTACCATGGAAGGTGATCTCCTCCGCGGGACCTTCCACAGGACCGTGGAAATGCGCGAAGCTGTGAGCGTGTCCTGCTGATCCATCCTGCACCGATGCCATCATCAGTACGGTCGCAATTAAAACGAACTGTACAGGAAGAAAGTAAGTGAATCAATATTAAAAATTAAAAGGCTTCGAAACGAACCTTCGTCACCATCTTGCTAGCGTATGAAATCGTGCTCGAATGGTGCTTACCAAACGGTCCATAGCACCTTATATAGCAGATATTTGTGTGAGGGAACATTGGACGTGTTACGTTAGTATCAAAAAACTGGAACGGGTGTCTGTTGATTTTCTAAAACTAAAGTATGCGTTTTTTTCATTGGAACCACGCACGTGGGTTTCTCTAAAACAATAATCGATTCCGCTCTATTGATCTCGATGCGGAAGAATTTTTGCATACACAAGGAGAAAACGATCTTGTCGTTAGTAAATGGTAGAAGAAATTATTCGAAGTTATTCCCCAAACTGATCGATTCAAATAGAAATTTTATTTCTGATCGGGATAACTAACGAAGTTGTTTTTGTGCCACGTTGTTCTACTTCGCAGCTCTGATTACGTTTTCCGTGCAACGTTTTAATTCGAAAATAAACAACACGGTGTCACAGGTCGGAATCGAGTCCACCGGTACAGGTAACGTTTTAAACAATTCTTTACAGGCAACGAACTTTTCACGCAACTTGAAGCAAACAATTTAATTTAATTCGAAATTATCTAAGTGAGATAGAAGTTCATTTATCGTCCTGCTGAAAGTTTCGTTTACAAACCTGGAACGTACAGCTATACATATAACGGAAGTTATATTTAACGATAAAAAATATCCAAAAAATACGAAAATGGTCGGTAAAAATTTCGGTGAACAAACTCGGAATATTGCGAACTGGGTTACACCTGGAAAATCGATTTTCATCCGAAAAACAAAGTAATATTTAACCTTCGTCCACTGATGCGTAAACGTACACCCCTCGATATTTTCAGAAAAATATAGAACAAAAGCAAACAGTTTACCGAACTAGCTCGGTCCGATAACCAAAGTTTCGAACTGTTCATTAAATGAAACGTCGAATGATACGCTTTTGAAAGTTGCATTTAAATGAATCTTGGGGAGGGAGACATATACGGATAACGTTATTAAAATAACGAGTCAGCCGGCGAGTAATACTCTTAATTAAATAAGTGCATTCGTTGTGAACGAGCTCGAAGGGAGCAAGGGTCGATAGATTCCTGTGGGATAACCAAGGTAGGATTGTAGCTGGATGGAGTCGTGGCTTTTTTCATGCTTCCCTCGAAAGACTGTTTCCCTCGTTCGACTGGTAATCCATCCGTTTACTTCGGTAACGACTGTATCGATCCGCGGGCCGAGTTGCAACGCGCATTCGTATGCGGAACGGATATGCGTCATTTATGCGTGAGCATGCGGAAGGTAACTCTGACTTCTAGGCACCGCGATGCTTTCCATCGGTCGATCGTTTATTTAAATATTTACCAAGCAATTAGTCTCTTCCAAACACAGGGCGCGGCACGGACGGGAATATTTACTAATAGCTCTCGCCATAATCGGGAACGAAGTTATTGCTGGCAAACGACTCCGCGAGCGACGGCTGTGCTTTATCAAAATGTGCGTAAATTTGATAAAAACACAAGAGTGAAAGTTCTGACTGAAACGAGTTAATTAATTCGAGGAACAGCATCGGGCGGTGCAGGTAAAACGAACTTGCTGCAACAGTAATTTCTTTCAAATTCAATTGCTTCCGGTGAGTTGCGAGACAATCCCCAAGGGATCCGCTGTCTCTAATATCAAAATTGTTTTCCCTCGTCAAAGGATTACGTTTAAAGGAATCGTTCATCCGTCGGTTTATTATAAAATATTTTTCCCAACTTGTGCATGCTCTGCAAAGAGGGTGGATATTATTTCGTAGACGTTGCGGAAGGGAAGATGCACATCCGTGGAAGTTAATTACTTTAACGAGTTTCGAGTGGCATCCGATTGTCGCAAGAATCGTGGACGTGAGAGTGAAACAGTAGGTGTGCAGAAACAGAAGATGTTGCGAGAAGCGACGCATCGTTGTAGAAACGAGAGGGTGGCGTACAATAGTCATGCGGATATTTTTAGGGGTAAAACGATGTCCTCTCTTCCCTGCACCTTTTCTTCCAGAGCAACAGCTATACGTAATTATTTTGTATTTCTGTCCGTGCACAATGGCTGTCACGCTTGGTAGCTTCCAGTAAAATCCTTCGAATGGCAGAAAAAATAATTTGCTTTAATTCTCTTCTTCTACTTCTATATCTTTCGCTTCTTTCCCCGAGTTCTTGATGAAATTCCGTCGTCGGTGGAATTTAAACTTAGCATTCTTAATGGCGTCCGGGAAACTTCAAGGTAGGATAATTTCAAGGTAACCGCGATAAGTTCTACTAATTGATTAAAGAACCTTACTTTCTACTCCGATTCTTATTCCGGGGAAAAATTCGCTGAAAATTTCCCAGCTACGGGAGCTGGGAAACATTTGGATACGATGCATATTTCGTTTTAATTGCACGCTCTTTCGCTCAAGTATTCTACGCTTCCTTGTGCGTCCCAGTTCTCGAAGGGGAAGCATCAAGAAAGGGGCGCGAAGTTGGCGTGTCTGTTCGAACGACCAGCCACGTCTACTCGATATCATCCTACGTAAACTTAGAGAGAAATTATTGAAGCGTATGCGCAATACAATTACTAGCGATGGAAATTGATAGCGGAATTGGCGGGGGTGGGTCAGTAACGAAACGAACGTTCGATCCTCCTACAACGCGATCGATCCTGCTTCTTGCTTCTTGCAAACGTAATGCTGTTACAAGCACTTTGAACTACGCGTCTTGATATTCTCTACCTCTGATGAAACATCATCAAAATTGAAGGGTTAGGTCATTCTATTATTCTTCGTTTGGAATTTGCATTAAACAACTGCAAATCAAATTCAATGTACTGATTTATTATATTCTGTGCTTAATAATTGACAAACGATAACAAGTAGTAAATGTTGAGAAACAAAAACGTGTGACAAGAGTATAACAATAGATAACAAGGATCGTATTTTTAGTGAATGAGTCGTGGGATGACAGGGCTCTCATCTATGCTTGTGTCCTCCGTGTCCGCCTCCGGAGTGATCGTTTCCGCCATAATTATGAACTTCGGCGAAAAATCCACCGTGAGGATGAGAATGATACTTGACGCTTCTCACGTTACCGCCAGGCTCGTGAAGATGATACTCCCCGTCGACTTCCTTCCCTACAATCCCAAACAGAATTTAGGTTAATACTATTTTATCGTATTCAACTACGTACACGGGATTAGCGGTATTAAAGGGAGAAAGACGTAGAAGATTTCAAGATTTTTGCGAAGTGCGTCGAAAGAAGTGAGGGGATTAGCGTGCACCGAGCAGTTCAACGGCCGAACTTGCTGCTAGTTTTAATTAAGAGCAAGGCCGGCTGTCCAATTAGTTCGAGATTCTAATTAAGAGCACGAAATCGAGTCTCTCTACGCTTTCTTGCCAGTTTTCGATCGATGCGTACCGTCGCGGTGCTCCTTCTGTCCGTGATAGTCTTTCGTGTGGCTGTCTTCTACACCGTACGCGTAGTGGTATTTAGGATACGCTTTATAATCGTGATCATAATGTCCGTGTTTATCCTTCCAGCTGACCTCTTGGTGGCCACCCACTACAGGCCCGGAGAAATGGTGGAAAGAGTGCGCGTGTCCACCGCCCCCATGTCCACCGCCACCACCGTGTCCACCACCCCCGTGTCCTCCACCGCCACCTCCGTGTCCTCCCCCGTGTCCTCCACCGCCACCTCCGTGTCCACCGTATCCACCCCCGTGTCCTCCACCGCCACCCCCGTGGCCTCCGCCGTGTCCTCCACCGCCACCTCCGTGGCCTCCGCCATGTCCACCGTATCCACCCCCGTGTCCTCCACCGCCTCCTCCGTGGCCACCCCCGTGTCCTCCACCGCCACCTCCGTGGCCTCCGCTGTGTCCACCGTATCCACCCCCGTGTCCTCCACCGCCTCCTCCGTGGCCTCCCCCGTGTCCTCCACCGCCACCTCCGTGGCCTCCCCCGTGTCCTCCACCGCCACCTCCGTGACCTCCACCATGTCCACCATATCCGCCCCCGTGTCCACCACCGCCACCTCCGTGGCCTCCCCCGTGTCCTCCACCTCCACCGCCATGGCCTCCCCCATGTCCACCACCTCCATGACCGCCTCCATACCCGCTTCTCTCTATGCTATCATCATCGTCATCGTCTAAAATCAATTATCAGCATTATAATTAAATGGCCATCAACTTTATATTACATCTCTGTGCAATAATTACCATACCTGCATGTAAGGATGTTTCATAACAACTGGTCACAGTTATCGATATTAAAGCAACGATGAGCAATTTCTAAAACATAAAACTTGCATTGTGATGCGGGATATGCACGACAGCGAAGGTTAGACGAAATGATGGTAAAATTTATTTCGATCACACGAAGTGGCACTTTGGAACGAAAAATTGCAAAAGAAGTATTATACTTTGTCGGAAGCCTTCAGAGACACTTTCGGGAGTCACGTATAGGTCTTTAGAACACTTTGCGCTCACGACTTTGAATCTGATCCATTTGACGAAGAGTACGGTTCAACGAACAATTGTATTATCCCTAGCTGTCCAAGTTTCAAATTATAATTAACACATTTACTGCCATTAGAATCACCGGCGAGCGAAAAATTAATTTTTAACCTAATAGTTTACCTCTATTAGTGCCATGTTTTCTCTCTGGAAGGATCACCGATTGACTGTTTTCTGGATAGCGAAAATGCCATTTTATAGGAGTGATTGGTGAGCAGAAGAACAGTCTCATTAAACCATTAATTCGTTTGTTACAGCTTGTCGGGGACTTGGATAGAGCGAGAGGCGAAGTTGGTTCCCCGCTTCAAAGGACGTCGTTACGGTTGCAGTTTTCGACATAGCCAGACACGAGCTGGCATCGACGTCGCATTATGATGCAAAGGGTTCGAAAAAATCCGTTGCAAGGTGTTTGATGGGGCGAGAAATGTAGGTTCCTTGTTTCAAAATCGGACAAGAAATCGAAACCGAACCAAATTCTTCCTGTTCGGACACTGGGAGCAGAAGTTGTGACACGGATACCTTTTCCCATTTTTAGGATTTCAGGAATTTACCTTCTTCGACCCCGCAGCGATTGACAAGGTCGAGGTGCAATAATTAGGTCCACGTTTATCTAATAGAAATATTATCTTAATTAGGTGCCCGCCCACTTCGTAGAACGCTATTCAATCATTTCAATTTATCTGAATTTTCAAAACAATTCTGTCAAATATTATTCGACAGAATAAGCTAATGCATATAATACTCGGCAAACATTAATTATTCGCTGCATTTCACAAGTTCTCGTACTTGTACACGTTTATAGGATGGTCATTTACGAGATTTATACAAACCTGTCGCGTAAAGGAATTTTAATTCGATGTTTCGCTTCGAAATTATCCGTGAGTTTCGCATACGCGAACGCATTACCGATGCTTTAGTAGTTTTAATCAGCTCGGAAATCCGCGATAATTCTAAAATTATAGAGCTACAATTATTCTACCCGTTGGCTTCACTCAATTCCATTAAAGAAACCGCCCTATCATATATTCGATCGGCCACGTAAATTCGACTGTCGAGATTAATGAGCAATAAATTGCACATTCTCGACGATAGAGCGAACGAGTGTCAATATGTCGCCTGAATAGCCGCATCCCAACCTGGCGATACAGTTTATTGTTGAATTTATTGCATTTCCGCGTACCGCCCGTTCGCATGATACATTTATTCCTGGCTGAATTGTAATCTATCGATTTGACGCAAAGTCAAATACCCTTTCCCCTTCTCTCCCTATCGTCCGATCGGTTTGTCTCTCTTCATTTATTTCGATGATTATTATCACCGATGTTCCCTGTTAACGACCGATGAAATGCACTTTTGACGAATTTCACGATGAATTTGCGTTAACATCGCGTTCAAAACAAAAGCTACACCGAGACAAATGTTTTCAAATAATTTCCCTTCGAAACGATTCCACGTTTCAAGAACAACCATCCGGAATTTCAATCGTAATACCTTTTCTTTTTACATAAAGATATATTTAAAAACTTCCCGACAAGTTTTGGCTACCATCTCGTATATTTTAGGAAACTGGTTGCCCGATTTTCTAACACATTGACTTCGGACGCGATTCTTTCTTGCTCTCGACGAAAGTATTGGAAAAAGATTATGCACGGTCTGATGATTAATTAGAATAGCGTTTTGCGCGACAAAAATATCGAGCTACATAATATTTTAAGAAGCGAGCACGTATTTTGTCGGTTACGTATTTTTACATGCGATTCAATTTCATTATATAATTATTACACCCTCGAACTGCATTTATATTGGAAATTGAAAAGGATCTGTACAAATGAATTACAAATCTTTGTTAACATTATATTAATTACAAAACTGTACACACACACACACGCTGTCTAGAAAGCTTAAGCCTCTTAAATAGAAAGGTAATTGAAACGTCAATTATATTCATCCGACATCGACGGGTACAATGTAGGATTAATAGGCATTAAGTTAACGTTTCGATCATTAATCTTACAAAAGTATTACTGGCTGATACGTAACCTAACGTGATATCGATTAACTCATCCGGAGGTAACTTCTTAGTATCCGCGAGATCCGGCGGTTCATCTGCAGAAAAGCTTCGGTTTATCAACCATGTCGTAGGAAGTTCGTGGACAAGGTGTCGTGAGTGCTGGTATCAGGGAATTCTGAATGGCGTGAGTCGACATCGGAGCAGTCCATGTTCCCTCGGAGGAGACTATACCAGACTCCACGTCAGATCTGTGAACACATCGTTTTCTTTTCATCTATCAAGTTTTTCCTTTTTCATCTCGTTCTTGAATACGAGTGATACTTTCTCTTCGTCTTTGAATGGTAACGTTCGCGACAGAGACAGCCGGTAATGATCTCTAAACGTGGCACCAATTACGAACGAAATGCAAACTCTTTTTGAGAATTCAACTCCGCGGGCTAAGCACTTGTACGAATTACTTATCCAACGAGAAGGCGTTCGTGAAATACCGTTTGAGAGAACGGGGGTCTTACGTCTTGAGTACGGGCGAGCTGTAAAGAATAAGAGGATTCACAGGCGGTGGTTTAAGAAGAACCACGTCGACTCCGGACGATTGTAGTTCGCTTTTTAATGCCTCCGCAGCCCCTTCGACCGCCTTCCTCGAAGCGCTGAACGCTACCAGCCCTGTGCCAGCTTTCGTGCCGTAGCTCGTCGTCGAATCGCCCAAAAGAACGATGCGTCCTATAAAATGAATCATACTTCACAGCCGCGTTCTGTATTCTCCGCTTTCAGTAACCACCTCTTAACCTGTTAACCGACAAACGGCCAGTCATTACCAAACTACCCTTCTTACAGAAGGATCTAAATTGTGTGCTCGTTTATCGGTCGATCGATTTCAAAGCGTATAAACTGTGACCCTATTTGATGATATAAAAATATCCATTCCTGTCGGTGTTTTTACTTATTTGTTATTATACCTCCGATGAAAAAAGAAAGGTTTCGCGCCGGTTAACAAGTTAAGCGCGAGCCTGTAGCTAATAGTCTTTCAGCGACACGCTCGCTTTGTAATCACATCAACGCGTCAGTCTCTAATCCGAAGGGACAAGGTGCAGACCTCTTTTCACGCGTAAAAGAGGAATGAACATTCTGGCGGTCCTAAGCGGCGCGACCAAGTTGTGTCGCAACATGGATTCCCACGCCGAACTCGGCTGCCTCTCTATAACACCGGGCAGAGCCAAGCCACCGGTGTGCACGACCGCCCAGAGACCTGTAATTAAGCGAACTTCAAACTCCGCTGTACTCTAAGCAGACACGCTTTTGTGTTAAGCGCGACAGACACGGCGAAGATGGAACTCGCGTAGAAATTCTAGCTACACTTGACCCATTCGCGGCTCGGTTCTTCTCGCGAGATGATTCTTGGGAAATGAAACCACTTTTCTTCTGGTTATTGTAACACTTCTACGCTGTGTTGGGTAATTATTTATCATTTTTTTTAGAATACTTTGCCTTTGTGCGAGCCGAATTTCGAAGTGAAAGGGGGAAACAACATTTTTGTTAAATAGCATCGAAAGTAATTTATAGCGGAATATCCACCGTAACACGATTATGTTATATATTGTTGAGTCTCGATGCGCGGGCGAAGCAATGAAAATCGATAAAAGTAAATTCATTGCATCCGGCTATCAGTTATCAGAAGCCGTTTTAACCGAACAATTTCCACAGAGACTAGGCTATTTTACATCTACGAATCTTTGCGGTCGTTGTACATTCGGCAACTCTATTCCGTGTTTCCTTTTCTCTTATTCTTTCCCTTAAAATCCTGTTACCAATGGAAGTCGATAAAAACCACTGGCTATCGAAACTGTCCCTCGCGTTTTAATAAAGCGTATTTTTAATTTGTTCACCTTTGAAAGATTGAAAATTTGTCGTTAAGGTGAAATCCAATTGTTAACCGCGAAATTTCCAGCCCCACTGTGGGAAAATGTACAGAGTCGAGTAAAAGGCAGCGAAGCGTGTTCAATCTTCACCGTTCGACGCGCATGAAATCGACAATTGCTTGCCGTCTTCCCCGGCCGGAAGTTTCGCCCTAACTGCGTCCAAACAAGCGCGTAAACTGTCCTCCCTGGTCGAGTCCAGTTCCAATGGAACGATTTGGCCGCGAGCACGTACTTCCGGATCCTGCGGGTTCCCTCGACCCGTGTCTCCCGGTTCGTCCTCCTTTTCTTTCTGCTGCTCGATCGCCCTCAGGATCTTCATCGATGGTGAGTTACCAGATGGATCCAACACTCCGACAAATACCTGTTCAATAATTAATTAGAATTCAAACTTGTCGAACTACGATCGATCGCGAGTTCTCCAACTGTTTACTCTGATATTTTTCATGGATCAAAAACACATAGCGATCTTACGAAGCTTTGATATTGAAAGAAAGAGACGGGAAGCAAAAGCTTGATACCACGATGTAATTTAAATTTAACGAAATATCGAATTTTCTGGGAGCTAATAATCCTTTGAACGAGTCAAAGGATCGTCGTTTGAGTAGAAGAACGAAACTTTGATTACTATCTCGATTAGCTGTGTCGTAAAAGAAACACTCTAGCTTCTTACTTTTCCACGTAATATTCAGGTGGGAGGGGAAAAAAATCCGTGGATCATTACCTTGTAACCAACCTCGTAGAGCGCAATGGCGATCTGCAAACCCACGCATGTATCGCAGCTGGTAACGAGAACATGACGTTTGTTACGGGTCTCGTATTCGTCCGTTGCGTTCCTCGATTGCCGCATTAGATAGGCTAACAGGGCGGCGACTATCGAACAGAGAGCCAATATTTGTAGGGCCAAAATGGCCCCGGTTTCAGCGTCCATCCTGCCTGGCTATATTCAATCTGCAAAGCAGAAGTTACATCTCAATTACGCCACAATTCAAGCCAACCTCGCACGGGCTTGGACCTTCCACTTCCGCAATACGGTTGAATGGTTTCTCATCGTGCCGATGGCATAGCTCGCCGCTAAATTTCGTAACACAGTTTCGTCTACTGATACGCGCATACCTTCGATTCCTGTAAACTCCATTCAATTACCGTATTCAATTACCAGAGTATTTCGTATCACTTTGATACTTGTTCAACTGCGAAAAGTTCTCTCGAAACCTTTGAAAACTTTTCGAAACTTTACACCGTTGACGAGCGTTCAAACACTGTTGATTCTTGGAAATAAACTGGCTAGGCTTTACGCGCGGATTAATCCTTTCCGTGTAATTATTAAATTTACTAATTTCATTGCTCGATCATCTTCCAAGTTTCGCTGGCCGCACGCAGCCCACATAAATCCTCCCTAAATTGTAATTCGATGCACGAATGTCGTTGACAACCGATCGATCAATAATGATGCTATAAAGCTCAGTATATTCGCGTTCCAATTTATGTTGGAATCATTCAAGAAAAGCAATCGTACGGAAGCGAATCCGTTTCTTTACTTTCTCTATTTTTCTCATCAGTCGTATACTTCTTATCATAACACGCGAGCTATTTTGAATAAAACCCGGCGAACGATTCGACATCTCGTAATGGTATCATCCCGGTGAAATTCATCGGGAATTCTGTTTTTCCCGCGAAAAGTGAAGGGCGTTGGAAAGGTTTTTGCTCGACGAAGTGATTCGCCTTTCTAAAGTATATCTAGGCTCACCGAGGCGTGGCTGAAAGCCGCTCCTGTTTCTCCACGGTCAGCCGTCACTGCTCGTCGTCACGAATTCTATTCGAATTTGCAAAATCGAACACAATCCATTTCGCCGACGACGTGTCCGGTCGACGGTGAAAATCTCTAGATTTAATAGCTCGAATCACGTTTCCGTTAATGTGCTGAATCGATTAACCAGTCGGCCTGGCATTTCGACGAGCATAAAGAGGCGTTTTTCAAACGACCGAATAATTTCCTTTTCGAGACCCAGGAATTTCGGCCAGACCGAGAAAAATCGACGAAAAATATCGCCGACTTTGCCTGCGTAATTAGCCGACTTTTCATTCGAGGAGAAAACCTTTCTAGTGAAACTACCATTATTACTATTACCTACGTTTATTTTACCGCGTCAACTGCCATACGGCGTTACGAGTTTCATTTTAAAAAGGGAAATTGTGGAAAGAATCACAGCAATGATTCGTTTTGCATCGCGATAAATTGTAACGGACGAGTGACTTCGAAAAACAACTACACTTTCTTATTTTTTACAACATTGAAATTCTCATTTCTAAGCATTTTCTAATGCAGTAAATCAGTGAAACTTGTTAAAACCCTCGTAGCTTACGAATTCACACGCGATTTTCTAACTTTACGACCGTAGTCTATTAACCCCTTCGTTGAATACGACGCGTTTCATTTAAAATTAATTCTTCGTATCGTTAATACTCACACGCGCTAATTAATGCATAAATCTCGGTCGAATACCGCAAGAATAATAAAATTCGAATGCAAAACTCATCGTTACCAATTGCAACTGCAAATGAGAATACGTACTTAACGATTGTTACGATTTTCCACTCGAAGCAGCGAACACTTAGCGTTACGAGCGCCATTCAATTAATCTGAGATCGATTAAAGTATCGATCGAATCTTGTGTTAGGTATCCATTCGTATAAATGATCCAGGTGCTTGAACCCTTTTTTTTTTGTTCCCCCTTTGCATTTCATGAAAAACTCGAGTTATCAGGCGCGTATGCGGAAAACGGATGAAACAGTTCGAAGCATATCGCCGGAAGTGAGAGTTAGCCGATACTGGAAGCGTTCGAGGATACTGCGAACGATAAGCTGCGATTTTAAAACGAAATTCAAGATCCTCTAACGTCCGTGCTAAATATTCCGGGATTATTCGTGACAAATTAAGAGAAACTGGTAAAGGAAAATATATTTTGGTTGAATTTTTAAACAAGCACACACGTGATACGGTTACGAATACACGTTAGCCGGCGTGCTCGTCTCGATTTCGTGCCAAATCACAGCAGTTAACTTTCTCTGGAATGCAGGTACAGAAAGAAATCAAGTTGAAAGACAGCTGTCACGAAATTATAGTCTTATCCTGAGATCTTGCAAATGCCATACTTGTTTTTCTCCAATAAGAATTTCTCCGCGAAACCAGCGATGTAATTTTTCGCTAAATCACTCGTGTTCGTTAATTACTTGAAATTTGTTGCAACTCTGTTTACAGAAAAACTTGAAAGCATTCGTCGATTTCAGAGGGAAAGTGACTTTTCTCTGAATCTAAATGACACGAGTTTTTACAAGAATATGAGAGCATCGGGAATATTCTGATATGAATGTGTCTGATATGAAACATGTCGAAGAGTTTGATAAATAAAGGAAACCATGTATTTTCGTCCTGGTATTTTCAACATAAAATTTATTGATACATCATTGACTCCGTTCGAGCGAAACGAAGCACGAGGCAATTAACTTTGACATTTATTTACAAACTAGTCCGAATCTGTAAATGACTTTCCCTGTCGAGAGAAACATTCGCTTAGCGTACAAATGATCCTCGATACTTGAAGTGGAATGAAATTCGAAGGACATTATAATTTCCATCATTAAGCAACAACCACGATCGCGATGCTAATAAGCAGCTATGTCATCTCTATTAATCGCCACACCGGTGTGAGACGTGCACCGACTGGAATGTTGGAAGTTACACGTATTACACGTATACACTTGCTAAATACTCGCGTTGCAGAGCGAGAACGCGCAAGCGGATACCGGGTCCTGATAGGTTTCCTTTCCGGTCCGCGCCGGGCACCAAGTAATTCACGTTTCGGCGGTCGCATTATCGAATTACTGGAGTTTATTCGCTCGTGCTAATTTCCAGAGGTATGTGGAAATATTGATCAGAGAGTCCTCTCTCCTACGTTGGCTGCTTCCGATCTAGAATCTTACCCAACAATCCCGTGGTTTCTGCGCCCGCGCGATGGAACATTGCCACGTTCCATTAGCTGACCAACGGAAATCTGTACGTCCATACTAACGAACGGAATTCATGGGATTCGCGCGAACTACGAAACGGTGCGATTTATCAAATTTTCCGATGATCAATTTTCTGATCGATGATCGAAGGTTTCGTCCGATCGAGTAAGTAAATAAATTACCGCGCGTTGTTACCGCTATTTTTACGTAGGCGGTCATATCCCGCTAGGGAATTAAGCGAGGCCGTTCGTGGAAAGCAGGAAGGCTGCGATTTAACGGAGCGTTCTCCGGCCGCAACCGTGCGCGGCTATTTTCTTTGTAATCGTAAGAATTATTGGCGAACGAGTAGCGTTTACCGTAGAGGGACCGTGCGAGCCGCGGTAACCAACAACGTAGATACAAACGCTTCAAGTCCAGGCAAACGTGCAACGGTACTACTCGTTGACCGCGAGTGACCGTGTGGAAAAGATAAACACTTGCAATCCACCGACGACGCCCCACTCTGTTGTTATTTGTACAACAATTATCTCGATGTTTAACTCGGCTGTTGTTTTATCCGCACCATCGCGCAACCATGGAATCACGTCCGTCGCTGAAACTTCCGTGTACCGTTTGAGAAAATGAAAAACAACTCTGGCACGTTGATTATTTAAGCTAATTATCGAGCCGCTACAACGAGCAAACGTGTTTCGGCAACCTTTTTATCCCGCTGACTAAGGAAAACGGTATGAATTGTGAAAAATACTGTTGTTTGGATAATGCAGGTCCTACCCGAGGCATCTACAGTTTCATCCGTTTCAATTGTTCCAGGAGCCAAATAAGCGAGGTAAGCAAAGACGAATTGCAAACTAAGAAGAGCATCTCGAACGGAATGGATTAGATTATCGTTACGCAAGTAGTCCAGGTCGATCGATACCAGGGGAAGGTCGATTTCGTGTCCATTACGCAACGATATCGTACATCTGTGGAAGGGAATTTTTCAGGTTCACACGCCCTGTTACCTTATCGCGAGTAACCGCGAGCCACGATGCCACGTTAGAAAGTTCAAAGCAAACACTTTTCCTACCTAGCCGGACAGCTGAGAACGCTTCCGTCTTGGAATGCGATGGAATCCGCGCGCCATTCTGGTTTCTCTAGAATCAATATATAATTTGGGACGAGCGAAAATTTAGCGGCGTAAACGCTGACCGGCGAACCAACGCGTCTAGAGGTTTGCATATTTTAGCAAGATCGTTTGCCGAGTCTACAATAGCCTGGTGCTGAAGCAATCGAGAATTCCTATGAGCTTTGGCGAACGAAAGTATCGACGCGTTGTTGCACGAACGACTCCTTTGTTTCGATTAGTTGTTAAGCGAAGATCGTCGTTTCCGCTTCGAAACCTTCGATTATCGCTGTTGGCGAACCGTGTCAATGGAGTGAGACCGGGGATCGTTGATATCCATTGTAATCCTACATTCTGGGCGGGGATTAGCAAACTCGCTGATGCCGTAGAAATTTTGTGAAAAAGAAAAAAAAAATGAATCCTGGTAACGGGAGTTCTCTACTTTCGAAAAACGAGAGTCAATTACAAATCGTCTTACACGGTTACCACGAACCAAGGAAAGAATGCTCGCGAAAGATTATAGGGTTCGCATGATCATTTGATATTCATGTTTCAGCCTGCAATTTATTTTTTCTTGCATGATACGCGCCACTCGGTTTCTTAATTCATGCTCTACTTTGTACCTAATTAACTTAACACTTCATTGTGATTATGAACGTGATGTGCTCGATGTTAATCAGGAATTTTCTATCGACCCGTCGTTTACACGATACTCGGACAGATAAACTATATTTTATTTTCGTAACATGATTTATCGAAACATTAATTTATTCCTAGTAATATTCGTTCCTCTCACGATTTCTACTCAATCATTCTGTCAGATACTGCTAATTAAAGGATATCCTTGAAAGCGACCAATTAAGCGTATCAAAGAACAGTGCCATTAACGCCGTGGATATTTTTGAAGAAAAAAAAGGAATCGAAGGTGAACGCAGCAGGTAGTCGAGAGACAGGTAAGCGAGACTCACCCGAATTTGACCGTAGGCTCTGATGGTGTCCAGATAAGGTAGTTACGATACTCTGGTATTGTATGGTAGCCCCTTTGGCAAGAAAAATCGGCACACTCGAAAACGGCACAAAGCGAGAAAACGGCAGTTTTACGAGCACTCGAAAGTACCGGCGAGCGGCAAGCCGCGACGCGTGTTTCTACAGCACAACTGGCTTTCGAGAATTCCCGCTTGGAATGCCCACGAGGACGAACGGTATAAGATGCTTCGACGTTGGCTGCCTCGACAAATGGAAAAGGCACGCTCGAAGCATCTTCGCCGCGCCTACAATTACGTGCTCGTTGTCTATCGACTCTTCGCTCGACTGCGCCTCCGCGGTCCTTCTAACACCTTCAGAAAATTCAATTTTCTTGTATGTCGTCAAAAAATTGAAAAAATAAAATATACGTACCTTCGAGATTCCTATAAATTCGACACTGAATTATAAAATTTTCACTTCGCTTAATTGACACTTCTTCTTTCATTTATGTATATCAAAATTCTTTTTCGAAAGGATTCAAAACTTAGGAGTAGGTACTTTAAGCACGGTCAGCGCGTTGATCAAATAAAGACCGTAACTCGGAATTATTGCAAAATTTCAGTAAATATTTCGTCGAGGAACGGAACAATAAAGTGGAAGGAATTTCTCAACTTCCGCATTCGCGCGAAATATTGCGCGGAAAGCATTCGTTCTGATTACACTGAAAATTCGTAATAAAAGTTCTAAATCAGCTTCCTTCTTTTCGCTGCAAAAGGACGACCAAATTTTAATTTGCTTAAAGTTCCGCTTCTATCGTGATTTTTCTTATTTATGCGAGCAGACCGCACCGATCTTGATTCGCATTGAATAAGATAAAAATGTCGCGATAGGATTACCGTGGAATTCATTTTCCTAATCAATTTTAGCTGCAAGCAAAGGGCAGTTCGCGTAATGAGAACGTTGGAAAGACTTGAAATTACGTGAAAATCCAATAAGCTTAGTTGGCAAACGTAATATGCAGCAGCACGATGAAACGTTTCATCCTTTGATCTCTTATTTTTTTTATGAAACAATTCTTTTTAGTTCAATCAATTTAAACTCTATCATTTCAACAATACGCTAACAATCTATTGATCCCTCCTGCATAACCAGAAAAATAGATGAATTATTATTGAAATATAAAAATTGTTATAAGGTCGTGGAAACCATGGGATGCAGTATTTGATGAAACACTAACGACTGAGAGTTGCGAAACGTGTTTTTCATTTCATTCAGTTAATCTATCGTCATTCCTTCGAGCCCTGGACGAAATTCTGATCCGTAATGACCTACATTCTACTTGATCGATTCATTTTCCTTTGACCTCGTTCTATTTGCAAGTTGTGAGATAATAGTTGAACGATGCACATAAGATACAACAATCTATGCATTTCAATTAGCTGACTCTAATAGCATGGCCAGAAGTTCTTCATCGATTTCACGTTAAACTTCATAGATTTATATTATAGGATTTGAAACGAAATAAGTGGCAGAAACATCGGTTAAATTTCAGTCACGACTAACCCCTTTCAGTACTGTGTCATTGTGTGACAATGCTGCACGCAGGCAGAAAATATTCGTTTCGAACGGGGGCCGCATATTAATTTCTTGAATAAGTTCACGCGTGGAATTCATATCAATAGTATTCATCATGTTACAAAATTAAATTAATGCTAGTATTTTTGAACTATATTAGTTAAAGAAACAACAAACCATTACATAAATTATCTGCCTAATAAAATTCTACGGAACAACAGTATTAATTACACAGCAGCACCATTTTATTAAAAACAATGTATAGATATAAGTAATCGTTCTATTTGTAATTACTTTAATCCAATTGTATCATAATAAAAATCTTGCTAAATAACCAGAGAAAACAGAGATTTTTATTTTCTCCTAATAATAAAAAAATTCTAATTGGCTTGAAGTTACAAGGCTAGCAGAAAAAATAGGGAGGAGTCCATGCAGTGACTACAGTCCAATAAGACTGGACATGCTTTGTAAACGGGCGCCACCTGCTCTATCCTACTATAAAAATGTGAAACACTTTGCACTGCAACAGTCTAATGCACGTTGATGGTAATAGCAGATTGCTTTGACTGCATTCCTTTTTACGAATTTGGTTCCATTTTATAAAATTTTAAAAATTTAGTTCAAATTTTTGCCGCCAGGGGGCGTTGTTTCGACGTCGAATTAGCGCTCTCTGGTGGCAGAAAAAGGAACTAAACCATGCTAAAATGTTGGCCCTCTGGCGGCAAAAATGCGAACTAAATTTTCGATGCCGGATCAGCGCCATCTGGTGGCAAAAAAAGGAACCAAATCGTGCAAGAATTTCGGCCCTCTGGCGGCAAAAATGCGAACTAAATTTTCGACGTCAAATCAGCGCCATCTGGTGGCAGAAAAAGAAACTAAATCGTGCTAAAATTTTGGTCCTCTAGCCGCAAAAATGTGAACTAAATTTTCGACGTCGAATCAGCGCCCTCTGTTGGCAAAAAAGGAACTAAATTTGAATTGAAAAAATGGGTCTCACGGGACTTTACTTACCTTTACTTACCTTTACTCACCTTTACTCGAACCAGTGTATTTATAATATATTTATTATAAGGGTTGCAGTGATATACGGGATGCAGGGATATAAGGGATGCAAAGATGTAAAGGATGCAGGAATGTAAGGGATACGGGGATGTAAGAGATACAGCAATGTAAATGATGTAGAGGTATATAGAATGCAGGGATACAAAGTATTCAAGGATGTAAGGGATCCCAAGATATAAAGAGTTTAGGAATGTAAGGGATGCAGAGATATATGGTTGGGCCCTCTCAGGCCCTCAAAGACAAAAAAATAATAAATAATTGGGAAAGGTGAGCCGAGGCCCATAAAGAGGGATAAAATAATAAATGACCTGGGAGGGCTAATGAGTTCTTTCAATAAGCTAAGGGATAAAAATACGGTAAATTAAATGGAAGATAAAATAAAGGAATATGTATGTTTAACAGGTAGATCCGCACTCCTCGGCGGTCGCTATAAGACTGCGGAGGTTGCAACTTGTTCTGGGTCAAATTTCTCATATTGAGAATATATGCTATGTTTATAATTTGTTAAAGATCAAACAGTTATTACAAGTTGTATACATAAGTAACTAAGAAATGTAATTACATGTATTAAATAAATGATTCGGAAAGAAAATTGGATAAATTAAATGATAACTCGGTTCCTTTTTTAAAATGATTTATTTACCAAGACACGTGGAGTGAATACAAGTTTATTAAACAGAAATCAAAGAGAGCCAAAATTGTAACGTTTCAATTGTCAGTGCGAGGTGTGGTAGAAGAGAGCTGGTAAAACAGGCAAGATGACCATACCGACTGTGCTCTGTAGCTGTAGACCTAACCTTACCTGGGGGTGTCTGGAATCCCCAGAATCATGACCCCTCGAGAACAAAGGCACGTCGAGCCTTTATATGCCTGTAGTCTCACTGGTCCATGGTACGCATGCTTTTCGTCCATTTCCTTTTGGGACTCGAAGGTAAGAGGTTGTGTAGTGGGCACCGGCTGCAATTTCAATAGTTGTTACTCCATCCTTGCGTAAATGTTCCGTTCGATATCGAACTAATATACGTACAAATTACGGGAGATTGCCAGAGCGTCGGCGTCGCTTCGTATTATACGAAAGTCTTGCTACAATGAGCTACGAGAAAACGACTGAATCGATCGACGGTAATATGGAGTACGTCGGCCACGTGGCGAAGCGTCTTACTTCGGAAGAGATCGAGAAAATGCAGGCTCAAAATTCACGTTTAGTCTCGGAATTTCAAGCCAATCAATTGGAAAAAGATGCTAAAAAGCACTGGGATTTATTTTATAAACGAAACGATACCAGATTCTTTAAAGACAGACACTGGACCACCAGAGAATTTAATGAACTCTTGGGCTTGAGCTCGAAGGAAGATCGAAATGTGCTCCTCGAAGTCGGATGCGGCGTTGGAAATTTTGTATATCCATTAGTCGAAGATGGATTGAAATTTAGAAAAATATTCGCCTGTGATTTATCTCCCAGAGCAGTGGAATTGATGAAGGTATATTATATCTATATAACGATGATCTTTTTATATGTATATGTATGTATTACTCATTTTGATGGAATTCTTCGCAGAACCATATGCTATACCACCCAGAGAAAATGAACATTTTTCAAACAGATATCACTATGGAAAATTGTTTCTACAATGTGGACTGTCCGGTGAACGTGGCAACCTTAATATTCGTTCTATCGGCCATTCATCCAGACAAATTTCGAAAGTAAGTGACGCCATACTTGGATGGCCGCCGGATACTCACTGAAAACTTAAAATGTTCCAGAGTTGTGAAAAATTTGTACAATATTCTTCATAATGGAGGAGTTGTACTTTTTAGAGATTATGGCCTATATGATATGGCTCAACTGAGATTTAAACCCGGTCACAAGATCAGTGATAATTTTTATATGAGACAAGATGGAACTAGGTAATTTTTCGTCCATCTTTTGTGCTCAGAAAGAAAATACGAAATTATGTATTGAAAATGCTTACTTTTGTTTCAGAACATATTATTTTTCAATGGAGGAAATATCAAAGCTATTTGAACATGCTGGCTTTAAAACCTTAACATGTGATTACATACAAAGACGTACTGTTAACTTAAAGGAGAAAATAGATGTACCTAGAATTTTTGTCCAAGGAAAATTTGAGAAACAAATACAAGTTTAATGGTATGTTTCCCTTGAATAATTCAAGATTAATTTATAATTTTTCGAATGATGAATTCATAGTTCAACTGATATATACTGAAGGATTATTGGGATTCTTTCGCCCCTATCTGATATTTATAATCACTGATAATAATTCAGCTGTATAAAAATAATTGTTATAAAATTTTCGGTTGTATGTTTCAGAATATGTGTCTTGAACTTGATCAAGAACAAGTGTTGCATATTATTGCATGGGTAAGCATTTTATACCTTATGATGTATTAAATAATAACTTTAAAATGATGAATTCATAGTTCAACTGATTTAGAATGAAGGATTTTTGGGATTCTTTCGCCCCTATCTGATATTTACAATCACTGATAATAATTCAGCTAGATAAAAATAGTTGCTATAAAATTCTCTATTGTATGTTTCAGAATATGTAGAGAATTTGATCAGGAGCGACTGTTGCATACTATTGCATGGGTAAGCATTTTACGATATATTAAATAGGATAACTTGAGATATATTCTGTATGATGAATTCATAGTTCAACTGATTTAGAATGAAGGATTTTTGGGATTCTTTCGCCCCTATCTGATAGCATTATAAATATTTCCCTATCAGGCATTTAATTACGAAGCAACAATAATGTATGTAATCTCTGATTTTCAGGTACTTAGTACTGGTGAAACTACTCGGGATACATGCATATTTTCATTGCATACCCTGGTAAGTGCTCTTTATTTGATATAGAAGCGCATTAAGTTTTAATTTCGATGATGTATAACTGTATATATATGTTTGAATTTCAATGATACATGCATAGTACCTTTCGTCACTACCGCTGAGAAAAAAAAAATTATTTTTAGAGTATATTACATTTTGACCCTTTGAAATATAAATTGATATCTCTTTACAGATGTTCCAAGCAAAGAGTACATGAATGATACCCGTATCTTATCTTCTATCGCAGGTAAAGAAAATTGTTTTATAAAAAGTTTTCATATGTGATACTGCAATGATGAACTTATTTCGAATGATTCTAATGATTTATATTTTATTAGCTCTATCTGAAATTTTCAATACTTCTTCACTTGTGAAATTAAAAAAGAAAAATTTTTAGACAGTTTTTTGTTTACAGATTGTTGGCACAGGGAGTACTATGGAAATGATATTTCACATTTTATACAGTATAAAATATTGTAATAAATAGATGATAAATAAAGCGATATTCATAGCACATACGTTTTTGTTACGAATTTCTCACTACCTTATATCCTAGTATTATTATTGCACTTAACATTTATCATTTTAACGATATCTATGAAATAAAATAAAATATATACGCGAAATAAATAACAAAAAACGGGACCCATGCTATTATAAATATCTTTAGTCAGATATGTGTTCTTTATTACCGTCATTTGGGATAGCTAGCCACGTTATTATTATTTAAAATGACCAGTGCATTAACTTATTAAAACGTGTTATGTTATATATCACAAAGAAAAAGCACATGATAATTTTCAAGCCATTAATAATTACAGTAGCTTTTTTTATAGCTGCAATCAAGTCTATCACATTAAAATTCATGAGAAATTATTTAGGGGGTGCCGGTATTGTACACCCAGCATGGATTCGAAAGCGAAGCCGCGAAGACGAATAAATTGCATCGCGATTATTAATTAGGCAAAAAGATGTCGCGTTCTCGTTTTCGACCGTGTAACCGGATCACAGCGACGAATTCGCATTGCATAAAATATGATTCCATTAATTATAAAAATAAATGCTCATGGCCATTATACATATAGTAAAAGCAATATTTATAAATAGGTATATAATCATAGTGATTAATAAATGTATGCTGAACAAGCTAATCTTACATGCAAACAAAACCTATTTTTCAAAAGTTATGATATGACATTCAAGGCATTAATAAAGAATAACTTATTAACAGAAATTCGTATTCTTTCGGTACATATATAACGGATTAGAACAGAAGTTAACATTTAACCTTAAAGCATGATTTAAATTACTATTGCCCGTCATATCATTAAATTATAATATTTATTCGAAGAAACAAGTGCTAAATTACATTCAAATATGTGTAATATTGAAACTCTTATTCATCATTCTTAAATTATATTTCTCACTTACCCTTGTCGAGTACTCCATCGGCGCCATTAGAAGACCGGATACGGAATTGTGGAAACGAAGTAGTCCTCTGCTGATGGAAATTCTTGGAATTGTATTCTTGATACTCACGAATCCGATGTAAACAAATAAAACGCAGTGAACAAAAATCTGACCACAGAAAATTCAAATGAATTCTAAACATCGAAGAGATCGGTATGCAAACAGCCGCGCGGCTCGACTGATTTGCCAGACTGCCGGTGCGCATGTGCGTGGGGCAATGTTAGGCAATGACCGGGATTTCCCCCGAAATTTAAATTCAAAGCATCAAGGGTATGCCCTTCAATTGTGAAAGATGTTTGAATTTAATATATCTCACTTTAATTACACAAAATAAATTAAATGGAACATGAACGTGTATTGCAAAAGTTATTTACTTAAGTCCAAACTATGCAACAAAATAACAAACAGAAAAAAAATTATTTATAAATGAACAACTTTCACGCGCCAATCGTAAATTAATTGTTAAAAATCCTCTTACGAATTCCTATATTTATTTATTACTGTTGATCCGTATTCAAAGTGGAATGAAGTGATAAATTAAAAGAACACCAATGATTCTGCTCTACTGCTTTAGAAGGTAATTTTTTTCATCGACGTTAATATAGTAATTGATTATTCCGTGTCTAGATCCAGATTTTAAAGATGATGTCAGTTTTTCTAGTCTACCTCCACCTGGTTTTAGCTGTTGATCGGGTTTCGATAAATATGTGTTTGTCTTCTGTTTTTCGTGCATTATAAAAAATGGAGGCGGATGTAAATTAGCAATTCGAATAGCCTTTCGAGTTCGGAATTGTTTCTTTTTTTTCTTTAAGAATGACTAATGAATTCAATTAAACGTATAATCACGTTGCAATGTTTATTTGCTTTACTTTTGTATGTAAAATGAACGCATTTTCGCATCGAAAACTTTCCTTACCGCTGATACGTTTAACTCGACCAAGTATCATAAATAAAAATTCCATGCATTTCTGCCGGTTTTCCTCCAGTTACTTTTTCTTATTGACCGCGGTCTTCCATAAACGATCTGGTTAAAAAATATTTTTCCTGAAATGCGCTGTAATTCGTGGGTAAATACGATCTAACGTTTTTATTTCTCATTTCGTAACATACCTCATTTCTCCGTTGATTCACGGCTTATAGGCGTTCAATGTGTATCGTAATCATCGAAGTTCAGGGAACTCGTTACAATTGTATCATGGTGTGTACACGCGATATTACGTCGTATGTAGTAAAACACTTTCGTTCGTATTTGGCCGATTGCCAAGGTCCCTTGCTTCACCCGCGTGCCGTGCATCGGAGCTTGTACTTGTACATGGGACTGCTTTGGGAATACGTGAACGAGATTCCTTAGCAGACCTCGACGTCCCCGACGACGGCACACGTACACGGGTTACGTATGCGACTTCGTAAACAATAGGACGTGTAACAACCCCGTCAAACATCCACCGGCTCACCAACACACACGCGACAAGGCACACGCACGACGCGTGTGTCCTCGTGCATTGATCAATCAGCGAATGACGCGCGTAGGACGATCTGTCCGCCAGGTATATAAAGGTATCCACCAAAAAGCAGGAGCATCATTCAGTCTTAGTTCATCGTACGAGCTGATCTCGAAAACTACCCACATCTATCAACCATGAAGTGCTACATTGTAAGTATTACACTTCAAATATCACGGGTATTACAACGAGAATCTCTTTATTCAATTGCTTGTACAAATGATGGCAATTGAGAGTGTTCAATACTTGAACCAATTTCGATATTTTTTTATTAATTGATCGATTTTTACACTTACGTGATTTCACCTCGTATTGTTTCAACGGGTAACGTTTTACAATGAACACGCTCGATAATCGCTGTAATCCCTGAAATTACGGTACTATTATTTGGCGAAGTAATGACTGCCTATTATCTATCATTTTCCTCCGCTAGTCAATAACAATTACGCTGGTGTAAAATTGTATACATTTTGCGAAATATCTGTAACTTCCAATCATTCTTCGTGCGATAAAGAGGAATCGTTTGTACCAAGTGCTACTTATGATGATTAATAAAAAATAATTGTAATTACCATCTTTGTTGTTCTTTCTTCTAGGCTATCGCCCTTTTGGCTCTCTTCGCTGTAGCTTTCGCTGCAGAGCAACCCGCTGAATCCGAAAAGATCGAGCCAGTGGTGAGCGCAGAACCCCAGGATGCACCAAGGGACAAGAGAGGTCTACTGCTGGGCTACACTGCTCCAGTTGCATACACTTCGTATGCAGCACCGGTCGCCTACAGTGCTAGCTACAGTGTGCCTTATGCCTACCGCACCTACCCCTCATACCCCTACTACAGCTCTTACTACCTGGGTTAATTTCAATCAACCGAAATATACGATTGACGTACTTTTGTGATCAAGACTTGGACAACGACCATGGCAATCGCATGGACACTCAACGGAGTCGTTTATACTATTCTAGTTTAAGTTAACTCTGAACACACCCACCTTTGTTGACCGAAATTTTCTACGATTTTCTAACACTTGTCGCAATCGTCTTTGGATACGCGTACATTTCGATACAGAGCAATATTGTAAATAAGACAATGCTAAATATAAAAGTTAATTATGTTTAAATGATCTTGTTGTATTTTGTTACCCATTCCTAATATTTGTTCTTTGCGAAAGAAGTACTAGAGTGCACTTAGTGCTTGATAAAAAAAATACCACGTATCATATTCAAAGTTTGATATAGAAGATGGTATATCCATTTTCATATTCCAGTTGCATCAAACATAAATGAAATTTGCATATGTTTCATAGTTACGATCTTATTAGACATGCATCTACGGTTTCATCTTTAATAGTAGAATGCATCGCGAAGTGTCGATGCATTATCGAACAGTGGACTTCCTGTTGCAGATGCAACATAACCGCAAACAGAAACGTGACATCATCGGATTGCATTATTTAGGCTAAGTATGAAGTCACTGGGGGGTGGAAATTATGCACGACACTAGCGTCAGTGTATTGTTCTGGTTTCATCGAAACGGATGTACGAAAAGAGGATACTGTTTTTTTTTCTTTTTTGGACAACTCTCGTTATGTAAAACAATAGAAAGGAGTTCTAATATTCGCGTCTGCAGCGTTAGATAATCGAGTCGCGATGCGTAACGCCGGCCACGTTTAGAATTATTTCAAGAAACACGAGCACGCGTGACTTAAGCGTAATCGCGAATTACACAATAGGAATATATCACTCTAAATGAACACTTACTCTGTATTCCCTGAGACTTGATGACTTTGAGTACTTTCACTGAAGGCTTTGGAGGATGTGAACGTGATGGGAATTCTACGAGCCTCGTTCCCACTACACCGTGGAATGTCTTTTACGAAGCCGACGGAAGTTTGGGTGATATCCTTTTTACTTCCTGTCCAATATATTTCTACGGAACATCTACTTTCTACGGAATCCAATTGTTTCCATTTTTATTCCACGCAAAGTTCGTGCCTTTTCGTATTTGTAGGATGATCGTTAACGGTATCATAGCTACTTTAGGTAGGAACGGACTGCGGACTGTTGAACGGTTCACGAAGAGTTCAGGATTCGTTCAGTATCCCCAATAGGGAATTACGAAATATCGAATCGGGGAAATTTGGGAGCAGTTCGGAGGAGACGATGCTATACATCGATATGTGTAACATCACCGATCCGTAACAGCATTGCCTAAGTGTGATCGATGAAAGCCAGCAAGAAAGTCTATTGTAATTCGTGGATGGTCGCGAGCCGACTGTATTTATACATGTGCAGGTATGGCCGTGGTCTTAGTCGGTGCGAGCCTGTCCATCCTTGAAGAAATTAGTTTTTTCAGTTCGGCTGCTCTTGTTACATGTCGAGGAAACCCGTAGGAAATTTAACTGTAGCGTAGGAAGCGAACCGTCGGTGTAGTGATAAGTGCAAATCGGATTACAAGCATGAAGTTCCTTTTAGTAAGTACTACAATTTATCATTTTTAGAGTGATCTAACGTCAATATCCCTTGTACCATAAGATATCGATCAAGAGTACGGAGGGTTTGAATCATGGGTCCATTCGTTTTAATTTTAGATAACTTGTCTACTGGCTACGAGTTTATTGTGCGTCTATGGGGCCGAAGAAACCGAGGACAAGCCGGAGATTACAAAGTTAGAGTTGGTGGAACTTGGCGAGGGAGAAAGCGACGACGATGCCGAAGACTCGGATGTTCAAAGAAAGAGAGATTCCGGCTATTCGTACAAGAGACCGGACAATTTCGCGTTAGCTTCGAGATCTCGTTTCCAAGTTGGACAATCCGGCCACAGAGGACGTATCGTTAATAGACATCCAGCCCAAATAAACAGACCTATCAACAAATACGGACCACCCGGTTACCAGAATTCATCCCCGATGAGACCAGTTTCTCACGGTCAACAGCATCGCGATAAATTCCAATTCCATGGTCATTTCGGTCAACAGCATTCGAACAACTTTGATGGCCGGCCGAGTGGTTTGCTGGAGCAGGGAGTACCCAGTCCAATTAGGCAGTCTGACTTTGCCGAACCGAATCCAATATCCACTCAAAACAACGAACCCTTCGCGACTCACTCGGCTAACTATTTACCGCCGCAGAATCAGAAGTTGCCCGGTTTCGGCACGGTCCAAGCATTTTCCTCGGCTCACGCAGCGGCACAGAATATTCCGAGCAACGATCAAGGTCAATCGGCTAATTTCCAAAGTCAAAATCTCGTGCAATCTCAAGGACAAATATCAGACGCGGCTCTTTTCCTAACGCAGAATGCTCAAGCAATACAACAACTGTACGGTCAGCCTCCGAACGAGCAAGATTTCGCTCCGGTTAACGGTGATCAGTTCTTAGGTCACTCTAATCAAGTTCACAATGGTCAGTTTCAAAATTTCGAAAGTACCTCGCAAAGTCCACAAAATTTCCCAGGCCAGTTGCCCTCTTACGCGTCCGGAACACTGAGCGCCCAAGAGACCCTGGAACAGATTCAGTCTCTCGAGAAGGACAGATTGATCGTTCAGCTGCAGCGTGCGCTCGCGAGCCAGGCTCAGAACGCGGACGCGTCTGGAAGGTACGCTGAAAATCATCCGAGCTTCGTTCAGAGTCAAGATCTTCTGGCTTCCCTTGGACAGCGAATGAAGATTCACGGTTTAAACGCGCAACCGACTACCGTTACCTTCGGATCCGGCAATACAGCTTTCAATCAATCACCTTTTTTACCAGGAACCACGATCAGTCCCGGCTTTCCGCTTAGCTACGGGCTATCGACCACCGCTCAACCCCCGACGACCACCACGCCGACAACTACGACGTCCCTGCAGCCCCCTCAGGCAACTAAAGGCGACGGATCTTCTCAGCCCGGCAGCAGCCTGCCCGCGCCACCCTCTGCACCAGCAGTTCCCGTCTACGGTGGTTTCGTGCCGACCTTAATCACTGGTACCAGTTTCCTGTCAAACGTGCCGTCCTACGGGCCGACGTTCTTCGCTCCTGGTGCCGTCACACCTGTCCAACCGTCAGGCTCCTCGCCCACGCACTTTGGTCTACCTATTCCTGCGGACCACGGTCAGAAACCGACAGGAACCACCCCAACTTCCGCCTCTCCCACGACACCCTCGACTCCTTCGACCAGCCGACCCGGTCTTCCTTCCTCTCCTCCAGTTAACACGGTGCCAGTTCCTCTACATCCAGTGGTGACTCCTCTTCATCCGGTCGCACCCTTGCTTCCCCCCGTGACGCCGAGCCACTTGCACCCCGTCCACGCGCCGTCCACCGGCCATCCAACCTACGGCCTGCAAACACCCCTGATTAATCCGCTTCTCTACAAACCCATCAAACCGGTCTATCCGTTCTACTATTACCAGAACCTCGCGTACCAGCCGCACAAACTCGCTTTACCAACTTACCCGTGGAGCTACGCGCCGACCTATGCTCAAGCGAAACCGGCCCAAATATGGAAATGACGCGGTCCCATTCTTCGCGGGTGAATCGTAACTCGCCCCCCCGTATCGAGACTGACTGTTTACCCACGCGGAAAGGAGAGCCCGAGAGATCGAGGAAGAAAGTAGCCTGCGTCAAAGGATCGAGCACTGTAAAACCGCAACAACGCGTCTGGTCTCAGGATAACCAGACTCGATCCTGTCGGTCTATCGTGAATTTTCGCTTCATATTTCTTCGATGCTAATTATGTGTACCAGTTTATTTACTCTGTAATTACGTGTCCACGACGTGGCTGTGACGATGTGGTCGTTGAGATGCAACAGCGCGTTTCGTTTCCAATTTTCAGAAGCTTTTGCTTCGTTTTTACTTTGATTGGTAAAAGGTGCTTTCAATTATCTATCGGTAAAAGTAATTTGGGTTTTCGTTTTCATACACTGTTGGGTAAACGGTAAATTACTTGTATACATGGTATTTGTATAAATCAGCGCGATAACCGATTTTATCGGTTTCCGATGCGTTTTCCGCCTTCGTTCATGGTGCACAATTTCTCCGCTGAGTTATGTACATACGTTGGTTTTATTTATTGTATCGAATAAATATATTTTTTACTATCAAACGAGTTTTTATTTCCATCAAACGTCCGCGAGCGATCCGAGAATATCGTTCTCGGCCTTTGAATTTAGCACGATGCCTCGTCTACGCCTGATTCGTCCGCGACGTGCTCGTTTTGCCGTCGAAGAAAGTGTACACCATAGAAAACTGTCTCCACTTCCGGCCTGAAAACTTACACCAAGGAACTCTCACCGATGGCTTAATGGGCGGGCAACCGATCGCTGTCGTGGTTCGTTCGTGACCTCGAAAGTCGTTCGATAATTCCAACCACGGTCAACGCAGCCAGATTATTCGGCTAATCCTGTGCATACATAATGCGATCAGTGTCAGCAGGTGCACACGTTCTCGTCGGTTTCGTAAACTTTGGACACTTTGCCGTCGTAGGAAAGGGTATCGGACACGTGTTGTGTTAGCAGATCCATCAATTTCTACAGCAACTTCGTTGACACGGTAAATTTCGGTTGAAAATCCCAATGTGCTCAACGTTTGCGATAAACGTCCGTGGCATTAATGCCGGACAAGTTCGTTGACTCGTTCGAAACGAGCGGTTCACTCGAAAAAGCAACGATGTTACGCAGTGGCGCAATGCAGCTACGAAATGCTATCAGAGAATCGTGTGACCGAGTTATGAAAAGTAAAGCGATGAACTAGTACTTCGCAACGATTATACCGCTAAACGTGCTAGATTTCTACAAATACTCACTGAACTGGTATAATTGCCTCGAAGGCGGATGACCATTCCATTTTCTGTAAACCGCGGTTTCGAATGAGAAAGAAAAGGGGCAGAGACGGTTTAGATGGACACAACTGCTTCACGATTCACACAGGAAACTCGTTGTCAACTCACTTTCCGTGGCTGACCCGAATCTTATCCTACTTTTCGTTTTACCACGCTTCCTTCACCTTTACCGTTTCATTACGAACCTCCTCGATCTACCATTTTCCCGATACTATTTTAATTTTTTAATTATTCGATTGTCGCGCATCAGACCTCGCTGATAATTATACGTAACACGTTTACGTGAAATGTAACAATGCAAGTACAACGATAAGAATCGCTGAGGTATTTTAATTAGAAAACTCTCACGAATCGTCGTGCTCTTTGTTCGCAAAAGAATGCCAGTCTGCGAAACATTTACTATTACGTACACCTAATTACTCCTTAATGCGTGAAATTCACGATTCTAATATACCTTAACAAATTCATGCACCTGTTAAGGATACTTTTACCACTTTCTGTCGCGAGCAAAAACAAGACTCATTAATAAGTCGAAAATCATCGAAGAGAAAGAGTTAAAAAATCGTTTGCAATTCTTCTTTTCGACAGCAATTTACGATAAACGGTACGAAATTAGCTTAATGCTCGTTTCGATTAGCAAAAAGTTTGCACTTCTGGCGATCCCTGAAGTCCTGATCGAGAGGCAACTAGAGAACAACGACTTCCTGTGTCCCACGAGTGAAAGTAAAACGAAATCAATCGGTGTTTCGAGTCGTTGTTAATCGTCCGAGAAGCAAATAGTGGACGTTGGTCCTTGTTTTACATTTCACGATTCCGTTATCGCTGTCTCTTCGTTCATCCTTCGACGGCGCAACTGTCTTAATTACTACGCTCACGACACGATTATGCCGCGTGAAAATAAGAGCAAGAGAACGTCTAAATCTTCGCCACTATTTTTTTCTGCAAGCTATTCGCGCATTTCACTTTCCAACATCGAAACTACTTTCAGCGAGTTCTGAAGGTAGATTGTACCTGCTATGTACCACACCTTCACTACTCCTTTCATATCGAATCGCATCAGGCCGAAATACGAAAAGATAAATGTCTCTTGGTCGAAATTTATTCAACAACGTTTTCGTGATTTGAATTTTACTCCGTTAACGTAACATTATTTCTCCGCGTGCATTTCATTTCGCTCGGAGCAACGACAATCGTCGTTGGAGAAATATTTTCTGCAAAAAAGTTAAACACCTTCTTTCAAGAAAAGATGGACTAATAAAGCGGAATAGCTTTTTACCTGGTAATTTGGTAAATCTCTCAGAAGTATAGCAACGGAAACGTTTTCTCGGAGTCAGCTAATTATCCGACAGAAAGAAGTTTTAATTACCTGGATCTGCACACGCGTTCGTACAAAGCCATCTGAGAACTAATTAACGAAGAACACGATGTACTTTATAACATACGAGCACATTCAGAAAGACACTCGTTGAATAGAAATGTTTGCATGCCTTGGTTTAGAGGATATAAATGCGCGTATGTCGAGATACGAAATGAAAAAGATATTTCATAACAGCAGAGAAGATAGGTTTCGTTCGGTGCAATAATTCAAACGATCGTTAGATTTCATTGCTCGTTTGGTACTCTGCAAATTTGCCAAAAATGAATGAAATATAACTCGATAGCTATATCCTCCTGTTAAAGAACAAAAATTCAAGATTAATTAACAAATTATGAAATGAAAAATTTATAAGATTCTGCAATGGTATCTTAGTGAAATTTTAAAGGAACTTTACGTATCTGATCAATGGTGTTTGGTGTAATCGAAAAGAGGAAGCCGTTTACTTTCCTCCTTTCGTAAGAGAGCATCGACATCGCCGAAAGGAAATGCATTCTTTCCCTTTCTGTATACCTTCGAAACAATGTACGATAAATATCCATTTTGATCGCTTTTACCGTACTGGACACACTCTCGTTCGCAAACTTCATATCTGAAGATAGATCAGAGCACGCCAGTGTGGAACGCGTTTCTTGCGAAGGTGGTGGTGTACTAGTACCACAGCGCGAGAGACTCACCTTCACCTAGACCTTTCTTTCACCGTGTGAGAGGGGATTTGTATATAAAAGGTCTCTTCTGGGTAGCAATGCCATCAGAAACCACAATTTCACTTAACATACTCGGTTCTTACCTGACCACGAGAAATATCGAGCAAGAAGATCCTGTTTACAAGGAATATGCGGTCGTTAGTAAGTGTATCACAGAAATCTAAAATCAAATCCCTCGTTACATCTTAATAAGAAGATCAATCTTCGCGAGGAAAACTTTCGATTCACCGTTTCTCTATCGCGTTAACACGAATACCTGATATTTTAAATAAATTGCAATTTACTATTTTCCAGATAATATTGGTCCTCGCAGTTGTGGCGATCTCAACTGTCTCCAGCAGGGAGACGAGAGGAGAGATGAGAGTACTACGGCCACTGGCAAAGGGTAAACGCGGTGTCAGTGATTATTCAGGCGGCTACTCGTCCGGAGGATCATCTTACAGTTCTCCAATTCACTCGAGCGGAAGCTCAGGATACAGTGGAGCATCGCTTGGAGGTTATTCCCTGGGACACTCGTCTCCTATTCAGAGCTTGGGAGGTGGATTGGGACACGGTTCCGTTGGATACTCACTTGGATCCGGAGGATCTAGCCTGGGCCATGGATTAAGTCTCCAAGGACTCTCTTTGGGCGGTCATTACGGTCAGCCCTCGTATTCCGGCGGAGGAGGAAGCATCGCGTTATTCTCTCCTTCCTCGAAGACTGGACCAGTCACTTTCGGACTCCACGGAGGCGGTCTTTCTTCGGGCAGTTCCGGTTCCAGCGTCTACTCTTCGCCGATATACGCAACAGGAGTCCACGGATTGTCCTCTTACAGCAGCGGCGGTTCGTCCGGCGGCATCAGTCTTCATCCAGCGATGTTGGGCTCCTCGCACGGTGCTACCTTCAGTCTGCCAGCTGCTTCTTCTTCTAGCCATAGCATTCCGATTCAATCGATCTCGCAAAGTTCTTCCTATCCGGTCAGCGGAGGTTTGTTGATCGACTCTGGATCACTCGGGAAAAGCTCGAGTTATAGTCAAGGGGGATCTTCCTTGGGTAGTCTGCACGGATCCAGCGGTGGTTCCGGTTACTCTATCCCTATCTCGAGTGGATCCCACGGAATATCTAGCCTCTCTTCGAATTCTGGAGGTTCAGTCAGCTATTCCTTGCCAGTCTCCTCTGGGTCTCATGGAATATCCAGTCTGTCCTCCCATTCCGGTGGATCCGGAGGTTATTCGTTACCAGTGTCGTCTGGATCATCTAACAGTCACATTAGCTATTCCAGCGGCTCCTCCGATGCTTCCAGTTATTCTCTTCCAGCTTCTTCTGTATCCTACTCTTCTGGATCGTCCGGATCCAACTACATACCGTCTTCCTCTGATGGTTCTTCTTACGCCTCCGGCGGAAGTTCCAGCTACTCGAGTCCCTCGTCCAGTTATTCCAACTCTGGTTCTAGCTACTCCAGCCCGATTTCCAGTTACTCCAGCCCCAGTTCCAGTTATTCCAGCCCTAGTTCCAGTTATTCCAGTCCGAGCGTGACTTACTCTGGATCGTCCGGTGGCTATTCTCAAAGTTACTCGTCTCCATCCTCGTCGTACGGCACACCCGCGGAATCCCATGGTTCCTATTCGAATTTGAGCCCCAGATACGTGGGATACGCTTCAGGAAAGAGTTACGACAGCTCGAACTCTGCCAGCAACAAATACGACACCATTTCCTACTCCAGCCCTAATGGAAAATATTAAATGATCAAAATTTCGAGCGCGTTTGCTCGAGATCCAACCGGGACGCGATCTTAATTAGCATGAATTGACTCGTTGATTTAGCCCACTTTAGAACTGGTCCACAAACGTCTGGTAAAGAGTGGAACGTCCATGGATCCAAGGGTATTGTTTATTAATTTATATGTATGCGTTTAGAATAATTATTGTATTTAAAACGTCGCAATGTATTTGTATTCCTGTTAATCGACTCGGATACCGCTGATCCAACAACGACGCCGACATTGTGATGCTTGTTGAATAGTTTTGTACATTGTTTGTAATAAAATGATTCATCTCTGTTTTTTTTGTAATCAATTTATGATCTCATGCTCCTTCACGTAGCGTAGAAATTATAGAGCCGGCGAAATCGTAGCATATAATGTATTCATAAGCTTTCACTACGCGGCAATTGGTGTTAACTGATTGAGAATCATTGTGATTTG